TGTATTCAGGTATTAAACAGGTTATATACAGCTACATATAGCATGGTACATGGTTTGAAGGCTATATTTAATTAACCTAAGCGTTATATAAGCTTAGAAGCTACAGTGGTATTTGTGACGTGTGAAATGTAAAAGTAAACCTCATATAAAGATTGTGTATTCGTCTTTTTATTTTGAGACGAACGATTCGTCTTTTTATTTTGAGACGAACATTTTTCTGAGTCCGCTTCCGCTCATTTATGGGCAAATCGTGTATCAGACTTCTGTCTTATCCGGCCGAAACAATCATTGAGCTATAGAGGCGTTGTTGTCTGTATTAAATAAAAAATGTAATTAGCTTAGAAAAAAATTAAACTAGCATCCACAGCGTTCGTGTTGTTGCTATGACCAATTGAGCTACCTTGTCGGATTTAAATAGCACAGAACGTGAATGTGGGTTTAGGTCCCGCCAGAGTCATATTTTTAAAATCTAAATAGACTATAATTTACCCAAATAAACCTTTTTCGAACCCCCCTCCCATCCCCACCCTCCCCCAAAATATGTATATTCCACGCCGAGCAGTCACATGCTGGCATTAAATAAATTATATCGATTTACTTAGGGTGCAAATGCAATTTAAACATTTTGTGCGAATTAAGACTAAGTAAACACTATCTAAAACTCCAAATAAGTTAAACGCCGCGGGCACTCGAACGCTTCACCAACATTTTAATCCAAACAACGTAATTGATTAGTTTTACTCTATTTTAGTCAATCTGGTGAAGAGACATTTTTTTAACCAATGCTACAATATACATTCAAGCGGTAACAAAATATTTATTCGACATAAACAATTGCAGTATACATTTGAATACAATGCACAAACTAATCCTAAGATGTGACAGGTCGTGAGTTCGAATCTTGTTTTCGCTAATGCTGATCGCAAAATTAGTTTATTTTAATACTAGCTGACTTGAAGTATTTTGGTCAAAATTTGATTACCATAAAAACGGTTCTTGTAAGGTAACCTTTAATGGCATTTTTAGATGATTTAAAGAAGAATAATGGTTTTGTAGTCTGAGCCGTTTTTGCAGCACACGTAACAGACAAGCCTGAAAAATAAATATTTTTCCGTTTTTCCACATTTCCCATCGTGTCTTCGCTTCTATTGGTCGCAGGGTGACGTTATAAAGCTTCAACTAAAATAATTTTTCAATTCGAACCAGTAGTTCCTGAGATTAGCGCGTTCAAACAAACAAACTCTTCAGATTTATATTAGTATAGTTAGCAATATAACTTTTTACAAGTAAGTAATTAATTGAAGGTTACGAACGTAAATTGCAATATTTTAAGTGAATATTGTTCTTCTACAATTTCGTTAAAACTTAGTGACTTCGTATGATGGGATTCCAAATATAACGCGAAGCAATGCGTTGAAGTATTGGGCTATAATGGCGGTCAAACAATTTACTTATGTGTTTAGTTCTGTTCACCACTGTCGCCTCAAAATATTATCAACACCTAACCATAAGTTAGACGTTACTTTATGTCTAGGAACCACGAGTACCGGAAGGCATCGTTTATTTTATCGACGGGCATCCAGAATTAAATTACACCTCTATCCACTCGGTTATAGCTCTTGGCCAAATTTAAGATGGTCGTATTTTAGTCCCAAGGGCGGCTCCACAAGGGCACTTTAGTTGAAACTTTTACTTCGAGACTCGGAAGTTACCCAAAGTCCCGATGTTACGCGGTTGTGAAAGCTGAATTAATGAAATGAAAAATCTTTTTTATTTTTTTACCTGACTACCCTCTTTTTAGAATTAAAATTTAAAGTCACATTAAGCAAAGGGGTAAAGTAATTAAGGCAATAGTAAAAAACACTCATCAAAATCTAGTCTTTATTATCTTTGATAAAATAATTTTCTTGTTTGCCTTACGTACGTAAGTAGTAAGTACCTTGATTGATTCCTTCGTCTTGGGAAAAAAAATTCATCGGACAGGGCACAGACGTCCATCACTCAGTGAAACAAACAATGGAATTATAATTGTTTATATTGATATTGTGCATTCGACTACTGAACTACCGATGCGACCGCTTCTATACCTGAATGGTAAAACGTTTGCCTAGGATTGCGTTAAGCGCGAGAGGATTCGATCTCGGGGAGACAATAAATTGTGTCAGTCCAGCATTGTAGAGCATCTCATCAGCTGCTGCAGTAGTGATTTCGGATTTCTTTTCTCTTACTTATATTGTGGTGGTAGATTTTTTTTAATAGCTATATTTTGTTGTTTCTTAAAATGTCCATCAGAATAACAGCTAAAAATGAAACAATAGATTTACTAATAATTCTATTTTATTGTTTATTGGTTTTCGAAACAAGATTTTCTCCTTTCCTTATCAGGATACAATAATTAAGAATAATAAATTGCAAGAGAAACCACTAATGTCTACTTAAACTTAGTACTGACTTAGTTTTGGAACTAATAGTCATATAACGTTAATGTTGCGGAAATCTTGGCCTATTAACTATATTATTAATTTAATATATTACATACAAAAAACAATTAATGTCAATATTGACTAAATAAGTAAGAGCTATATTGTGAGGTTTGTGCTTGTTTTAAATCTGTTCCAAAGAAATGGTTAGTCTTTACAGACAGCATAATCTTTTTGGCCCCTTGTTTTGTGCCAAAGGTTTGAAAGTAATGAGAATAATGTGGGCATATTAGTTTGAAACAAGGAATGTATACATGGAATAAGTGAGGCGGTTGTACCATCAGCGGCGAATCAAATATTTGTAATTAAAGAGGCCTTTATTAACCTCATATCGAAAAGACGAAACTTTCGGTAGACTGAACGTCAACTCTATTTTTTCAACCATCATGGGCGATGGAACAACTATGTCTGATTATTAAAGTTAGCGGTGCGCTTGTCGACGCGAAGACTTCGCTTTAAAGTGATTTATGCTCGCCATTTGCAATTATGCGTGTCTTGATTAGGAGGCTAGTGTTCTGTTGCCAGTTCGCGGGGCGCATTTCATTGTTCACTTGGCGTGTGGCGCCACAATGCGTAGGAAACAAAGTACCCCTGTTCGATTTACTACAGACACAAAATCGTGTTCCATATGGGCGCCTTTAATTGCAACCTCGCTAGACTTGCACCGTGGACACACTATTGTTTATTCCGGCTGACAAAATAAATACATTTGACCCATATCTATAGATACACAATAAAACATTTACAAAAAAATAACTTGCTTATAAATTATAAAAAATTAAAGCCTTTTACTAAGCGATATAAATGAAATGTACAAAATGAGACAAACGTCGCGTAAATAATCTATCTACAAATCTTTTTACATACAATTTATCATATTCCTAGCAGTTACATTGCACATTTTATTTCTTACAATTATATTTACAAAATTTGTATTAAAATATGTATTTGTTATCAGTTGTTATCGATCATTATTCCATTTATCCGCTTGAACAATATTATTGAGTTGTATCCAGTGTCGATCTAGCAATTCCCATAATTTTAGCGACTAAATTGATTCATTTGTAAGCAATTGCTCTAGCAAAATACTAGCCCTTATGAACAAATCACTAGTAAGTTTATTTCAATAAACCTCTACTTACCTTATAAGATGTAAGTAATTAACAGTGTAGTATTGAATATTGAGCACGAAATCCAAGTGGATAAATAGAGAGGTTTTTAAAATACGCATTAATTAAATAATAAAAATGTCACAATTCAATATTATAGGTTTTTACAAAGCTATGATAATTCTCTTGTAAAATCCAGCTGCGTTGTACTAAATCTTGACTACAAATTTAATGTACTCTAGTAATCAAAATGTGAAGTATTTACAATGATGTTTATTACTATTTTGGCTAAAGTTCTCTACTAATTCCTTACGCCTAAAGTTGTGCCGTTTCGTGAATTAAAAACATTCTATTTGTATCTCTTTAAAACCAATCTACCATTAATTTAATGTGGTGTGGTAATTTTAAAACTGTAGTTATAAGTAAAATGCTTTGTACAATAAAAACAGTATTTTCTCCACGTCATAGAAAATAAAACTTCGGTAGGTACATTAATATAATATGACCATGACTAGAAATGTAGTGGATAAGTTTTCATAGACAAAATAAAAATCGTCTGACATATACAATAGTAATTACATCTCTGTCGTTCGCGATTGAATGAAACAAAAGAATGGTATTTTAAAAAGGGCGCGAAAATCGTTCGTTCGTTCGGTCAGGCTGTTTTAGAACAAGCGGAGATCTGATAGTGAGCGATCAGAGAGTCGAACGAATGTTAATCGACCGCCTCATTAATTGAATGAATGCGTCCAACGAAGCCAGATAATTCTGTAAATGGGCCAGAACTGATCGAACGAACGACACGTTTATCGGTAATCAATCTCGTCTAATGTCAATAGATATGTATGTACTCTCTATCTAGTCACAGTCTCAAGTACACTTCGATAATTATTTCGATGCACATTTTCAGTGGACACCACTTCTTACAGTATCCATTTCGAGTCTGCGACACGCAGCAATGAAATTACTAACATTAAACACAGAATATTGATTATTTGCAAGGCACATTCTCTTAAAAATCCTGATTTCCAAATTTCCTTGTAAAATCTCTAGATTATAATCACAAAAGTATAGCTAAAAACCCAATAAGTACGAAAAGCGACTAATCATCATAATGATATGTATATAATAATAATTCATTATGTACCCTGTGTCTTGAAAATATAAAAGAGTGGTTAAAAGAAAGTATACATTGTAATAATATTATCTACAATGACCATTGCGAACAATTTCAAGGGAATCAAAAGAACTAGGTGGAAATGAGATCATATTATTATTGCTTACGACGCGCCGGAGCGGTGTCCTTCGAGCGGCGGTTTTAACCGCAGCCCAGGCTAGCGTAGGAGCGGTTGGCTACTCAGTACCCGTATCCAGCTCCTGGATAGAGAAGAGCAGCGCCGCCACCCGACGGTCAGTGTTGCGCAGCGAATTTCATACGCTTCTGTTTTTGCCTTTGATTGCAGAACCACACGCGAACTACGTTCTTTTTTAGATCTAACTTCTCCGCGATCGCCGCTATCTTCTCCCCCGACGGCCTCGGCTGAACAGCGAAATATGCCTCGAGACTTCTCTTCTCCGGTGCAGCTATAGATGTTCTCTTTCTCTTCTTTTCCCCAGCTGGCAGAACGCTCGGAGCGTCTGGATCTCTTCTTTTATTTTTTGCTTGGGCTTCCGCTTCTTCTAGCCACGCTTGTAGAATCGGTTTTAGTGCTATCATATTGTTGTGACTTAGGGTTAAACTTTCGAATCGGCATATTGTACTCTGAGAGAGTGCTCCGACGCCGGGTAGCTTTAAGTTGGCTAGGGCTTTTCCGACATCAGCTTGTGTGACGCCAAGTTTGATTCTGCGCTGTTTAAATCTCTCGGCGAAGGCTTCTAGTTCGCGAGGATCTGTGTCGGTGTCTGGATGCAGTGCGGCGCCGGGGTGAACTAAGTGAGCTGGTGGTGCATGGGCTAGTCCGCCACTGTGATGATGATGGTTCATGACGTGGTTCATAGCGCCGTAACCGTGTAATTGGTGGTGTGGAGGGGCCCCCTCTCCCATGGGCGCGAGAGTCGTCATGGAGGTCGCTGAACCTGGTTCAAGCATGTCCAAACCCTCCATACCGTGATGACCCATCTGCGAAAAGAAAGGCTTTTGTAATTGGATTATGGTACTGCCTAAAGCCCAACTATTAGAGGTTATAATAAGGGTTGAAATAAACTGGATATAAATGAGTAACTGTTATATTTTGAAGCTACTTCTTTATTAATCTATCTACAATAATGATGTAAGTTACACCAGAAGGACTTATTTTAATTCTGTGTATTACGCGTGTGACTACACATGTAAGTTAATAATATTACAAAAGATATTGTTATCATTACAACCAATGAATTTATTGTTCTAGTGATAAGCGTAGACTAAGGATCCCGACTTCGAATGCTGTATTTAGAGTTTTTCAAAAGAAAAATTCCTAGTTCCAAGTTTGGAAATAGGAGGTGTCATCTTCCTCGTGCCTAGAAGACCACGTTAAGCCATCAATCCCTGTAATCACGATGAATTAAGTGATGGTAATCGTTTATATTCGTCGTAGCGCAATGAATCTAAGCTCTTACAACTAAATAAAACAATTTAACCGTTTCAAACAGGATATATATTAGATAAGCCTGTTTAAATATAATTTTTAAATTCGGCCCGACATTTCGGATGCTTCGCAGCTGTCGTGGTCACAGGGAGACGTCGGCTGTAGTTCAAATATTAAAAAAAAGTTAAATTAATAAACTTCGCGTTGAACCGTTAAAGTGTCTTCAAATGTGTAAAACTCGTAAACTTACACGGGAGGAGAGCTATGCCTAGCAGTGTAACATTAAAGTCAATGACAATTGATCGTTTCATTTTGAATACAAAAATAGGGAGGACAACAATAAGCTCTACTCGTGGGCGATATGGAAACATAAACAATCATCTTTGTGCACAGATTTGCACTCATTCTTTATGAGTGCAAACACTTGTTTTTTGTAGCATGGGGTGACTCTGTTGTGACGTTGATTGGATGCGAGTGTTTTACCAATATGCTTAAGTTGTTGACCGTCCTTGTAACTAAAATGGATGTTTGGAGTACCTACAACTTATTCGTACGTATGTAATTATTATAAGCGATTCCAATTGCTCGTTCCTATTAATACTTGAGTTATAATGATTTGTTTGTTTATATTAGTCTGAGTTATGTCAGATCATTAATTGCAATATTAAAACAGTGTTACAACAACAATATTAATACATCTAGTATATTTGGATCTAAGCTGTATGCTGATTTCAAAACAAATTTGAATATGGAGGTAATCAAAATTATATGAACTATTTTGCCTTTTGTAGAAGTTACAAGAGTAAAAGTGAAAGCCCGTTTCCCCCTCGTGGGGCATGGGGCCAACACATGTCTGTGTTCGTTTCACTGATCCGTTCATTTAACGGGCAAGTAGTTGATCAGACTTCTGTGCCCTGCCCGACCGAAATAAATGTTTCCCTCGGATTCGAAGCCAGGACCTCTTGCACTTAACGCAATGCTAGGCAATACGTTAAACCATTTGGCTACAGAGGAGGTCAATTCATACAAGATTCAACAGAAAAAATATAAAAATTATCTATTTTGCGTTCCTATTGCAATATGAATTAGCATTAGAATGTCATCGTATTTATTGTAAAAATTAACGCATTAGACTATTCATCTCCAGCCCAGCTTTCCTTTTTGCCACTTATTTCATAAGGTATTTTAAAACCCACCATATTACTTTATTGGATGGATTGGCTATATCGAATACCACCAATAAACTAGCGATGAAAACCGACGGATTAACGTGTTAGCAGAATCGAGGATGAAAATTTATTCGAAAATTAAAATTTCAAAAATCGAAATAATATTTCGCGCAGCCCGAATTTCGAATCCTGTCTTCTCACCACTAGATTAAGGAGACATTAACGTGGGAGAATACGTTTTATATTTATTTTGTATACATAAATTTGGAAATTCTCGACTTCGTAATTGAAACAAGCTATATGTCTCACTAACAGTATTCTAGATGCAGGGGTGTATTCGCTGCAGTGGGTGTACAGAAGCCCAATCTTCGGGGACCAGTAGATCACAATTACGCGGACTTCAGTCTGCGTGCCACACGAAACATTACAAACGCCTATACATTATACGTTTAGTTGTGTTTTAACTCTAACATACAATTTTTATACGACTAATAAGACTTTTTGAAAGTTACCTGAGCCAACAGCATTTAAATTAGTGGACCTATTTTATTAGGCCTAAATTTTTGTGAAATAACAATAAATAATAAAAAAGTGAAATCCTATTTCCTCCATAGGGGCATGGGGCGAACACATTTCTGTGGCCGTTTGTTTGATCCCTTTTATTTACAGGCAGGTAGACGATCTGTGCCCCGCCAATCTAAACAATTTTTGAAATTCGAACTTAAAATCTTTGCACTTCACGATTACCTAGGCAACACGTTTAACCATTTGGCTATAGAGGCGATACAGGTGATGTTTGCAAACTATAAATATAAAATAATAGTTTTTTTTATCACTAACCAGCTTTCTGTGTGCAAGCAGTCAGAAATGTTAATTAAACGTTGATAATTGACCTCTTTAGTCGTCATGATAGTAGATCGTTCCATTTTTAAATTACAGGACAAATACGATTTACAAAGTAGTTTATTTGGCCGCTTAACACGACAGATATGGGTCTTCATACAACTTTTGCCGGCCGCTGCTCGCCCAGTAGGTTGTATTATGCTCATGGTAAGAAAAAGTATTTTTTTGGCTTAGTTACAGTTATGCTAGCGTTAACATCGACCCTAGATGTCCTCAGGGACTTCAGTGACAATTGCTTGCGAGTAAAAAACGCTCATATGCCGTGTAATCCCCCGGGTAAATATTGTTTTCCTTTTCCCCCTTTGAAGTTTACGTTGTTTAATTTTGCTCACTATTTACTGTGTTTTAAGTATGGAAAGGCACGCCATTATTTTTAATGTTAATGTGACCTGGCTTTGACTTGTAAATAATGATAACTAGACTTTTAAGAACTGTCTGTAGTGTATTATAAAAAAAATAACGGTTTGAAAGCGATTTTATTAAATAAACTGCAAATAAATATTACCTACAGTTTACGCGAGTAGTACACATTTAAATAAAACACTTCAACGGTTTAAAACGCGTTTCGGATGCTTTGCAGCAGCCGTGGTCACGGGGAGACAATGTCGGGCCGAAGTTAAAAATCATTTTCAAATAAGTTTAACTAATATATCGCGTTTTAAACCGTTGAAGTGTTTTATTAAAAAAAACTGCAAATAAGTTAGCTAATATTATTCGCGTTTAAACATTTAAAAGTATTTGAATTTAAACTATTTTTTTTTTAATAATGTATACAACGAAGAATCGTACTCTTCGAACTGTAGGTGCGCATTTTCTTATGTATTATGTACTAAGATACAATGTTGCTTAGAACATTTTGTGTGTGTGTGTGTGTGTGTGTGTGCAAAAATATCCCTAATTTATCTACTATTTCTGATTAAACTTATCACGAAATTAGGTGTAAAAGGTTGAAATGATAAAACCATATGCCTTGTTCTGTCAAAAGTTAGGTGTCCAGTAGAGCTAAGCTTTTCTGCATGGAATAAATTCTTAAATAATTGTTTCTTTATTTAAAATAAATACTCAGCGAATTCCCTCGATCTATATTCTATACAAAGTGGGGGAAGCTGCGCAAGATATACGACTATGTCAGGTGTCTGTCTGTTTTACTAATAGCTTTTCGTTTGTCAGGCAAGTGTCTCAATGTGACGTCTGTTTATCCTACCTAGAACCAATATCAAGTTATCAAGATTTAAAACTCTCGTGCAAAGCAAACATTCTCAGAATTTCTCATTCTGATATTATAGTTTTAATTCTTGAACTGACAGTTGACACAATATTTAATCAACTGGCAAGTATTTTCGTGAGACGTCTGTGTCCTTTCAAACAAACAATATATTACGCTTCCTTAGATTTGAACCTAATCACTCGTAAGCAACCGATTGGACAAATTGTTACGGTCAGAGAACATGAGTCTGATCCACTACTTGCCTGTAAATTAACCGATCAATGATACGAACGGGGTAATTGTGATTTAACTTTTACGAGTATTCAATGGTAGGTAGAACGTTGTAATGTACCCAAAGCGTAGGTAATAAGTGACAACGAATCATTGAAACAAGATTTTTTTTTTTAATGTTTACTGACATGTAACACAAATGTTGTATTTTTATGATAGACAAAGACATTTAAATAAAACACTTTAACGGTTTAAAACGCGATATATTAGTTAAACTTATTTGAAAATGATTTTTAACTTCGGCCCGACGTTTCGGATGCTTTGCAGCAGCCGTGGTCACGGGGAGACTGCGTTTTAAACCGGTAAAGTGTTTAATTTAAATGTGTACTACTCGCGTATAGACAGTGTTTAGACAAAGACAGACAATCATGGTCTTCACTTGACAGAAGGTAAAATCCTCTAGCCATATAACATCTGAACCAGATGCACTGTAGGCCTATTTTGGCTTAAAGTATAGGGAAATTATGAAAATGTTATTATTTTATTTACTCCCGTACGACTAGAAGAACGCGCACATAATATTATTATGTTATTGCAAAGATTAAAGACGTTTGCGATCCCAAACGACTTCGAGTTTGGGTTTACTCTGCCATAAAGTAAACATTACGTGGGCTCGCTTCCACCCTTATAGCAAGGGGATGAAACGAAAACTAAACGTGCCACGAAGTTTTGGGAACAACTATACTTAAAAAAACTCTTTTAACGGTTTAAAACAAGAAATTTATTAAAGACAATTTATTATAACTACGGCTAATTGTTTTAACAAGTAGTTTATATCGCGTTTTAAACCGATAAAAGTGTACTCGTGTAAACAACAGACAGTACTAAATTAACCGGTACGGGCTGAAAATGCAATTAGAGCCATTCTTTTAAACACTTTGTAATAAATCAGTTAGGTATTATTTTTAACATAATGATTTATTTTTTATACGCAAAAAGGTTGAGTCAAATGCAAGTTTTCATTGCAGCTCTAATCGATAAACAATCGGACATCGTTTACGGCAAACAAAAAAACAATTATATCCATTTTAATCTTCGCCTCGTGAGCGCAGTTAATACGATATCGTCAACACAGATTAAAATACAGATAATCTCAATTCTCAATGGAACAGATGATTCAAAAACATAACTTTTTATCTCTTTACATGCGCACAATATGGCTGGGACGGAGGGTGGCAATACAATCTGCAACATTACATCGAATAGTGCATAAAATTACCTCATTTTTATAACAGGACGCATATATTTCTTACATGTTAGAGTTCGCCCGGCTACCCCAAGCCTTATTCCCTAAGGAACCAACCCTCGCCGGTTACCGATACACGAGGACTAAAAGATTTTCCAAGGTGTATGGGGCATAGAGAAATGCATTTACCTTTATTATTATTATTTATGTTTCCGAATGGGCGCAGCGTCTTACAATTTACAAGAATTTTATTGCGATAGGTACCTTAGTTTTATCTACTTTAAATTCGATTGAAATGATTCGTATGGATTTCTCGCGAAAGAGGGGTAACTTTATGACTTTTTATTCGATGTATGAAATATGAATGTTCAACAATTATTATGGCAGAGAAATTTAACGGTTTAAAAGTAACATTGTAATAAGTTGCACTTATTGTGTTTGGCTTAGACTGTAAAGTTTAGTAAGCTCGGTATATTTGAATTTAAACCCTAACATATATGCCGCAAGGTAAAAATATGTAAATGTAAAATAAATAAATAAAATAAAAATAAAAAATATTTTTATTTTATTTTATACTATTATTTACTTGAATTTATTATAGTAGCCTATTTATTTGAGTATAAAACATAATACGTATAAAAGTATATTATTAAATATATTTTGGTGTTAATAATTCGAGAACTAATTTTGAGTTGTTTTTTAGTTTAGTTTTATTTTTAAATATAATCGAAGTTGGTCTATGAGATGTCACTACGTCGCGTTTGAAACGAGACACTATTTTAAAATTGTAGCCTTACTTTATTTTAAACGTTTCAAGTGTCAAAAAGTCAGTACAACTTTCTTCCATAGCAACTATTCTTGTAACTTGTTTAATCATAGTGAACAAATATAAAATGAGGACAACAGTGAAACGATGAATTTGTTTTTAACGTATTTGTTGGTTTAATGTATAACAATCAATGGGCCGTGGGTTCGATCCCCAACGGGTCAACATCTTTATAAATTATATTTTTCTGCACGTTGAGTTTAAACACGTTGGATTTCATTTCAAAAGTGGATATTAAGTAGGAATATGTACATTTTTTCTGAGTCACACATAACTTCGTATTTTAAAAACTGATTTGATGTTTTTTCTAAGTAGATACCTCAAAAAAGATCAGGGTGTGATGCTCATAGACCAGAGGAATCGAAGAGCACTTTTAAAAACCGTAGAGACAGTACAATTTTATAAGGATTTGGAGTGGAACTTGGAACTTGGAAATTCGTGTACCCATTCGTGTACGGCTAATAATCACGATCCGTTGATTATTAGCCGTACATCTATTTATTTATTTATGCTACCATTGAACAAACGAGCCCGTGGAATAATTGCTTTACAAGCATAGAGGTAGAAACATGTATACCTGATGCGGCCTCGTGTTATGAGGAGGTGGTCCGCCAACCCCATGATGATACACCATGTCATGCTTGAGCTGTGGAAGAGGGGGTCCCGGCTGAGGTCCAGATTGGTGCTTGCTGATGTCCACTGCAGCCAACGCCTCAGCTCTACTCAACAGTCCGTCGTTAAGACCACTGAATATGTCACCCTGGTGATAAGATGATGGATTATTAACTCACTAAGATGTATTTAAATAAAACATTTTAATCCCATATTAGAAACTATGATCTGGAAAATAATTTACAGTTAGTCAATTCTTGTTCTCGCCCGGCCAGGATCTTGCGGAATTGACTAAATTTTCGCCCAATACCTACTACGATATCCACGCTTAGATCGTTCCATTTTAAATAGTCAAATATAATAATTACAGGATATACTGCGCCTCTGTATTAAGTAAGGATTTATGTTGCAGGTGTCGGTACAAGTCCCGCCCTTGTAATTTTTTTTCTTTCTACGTAGATTTTTAATTTACGTAACGCCAACATGTGGAAAAATATTAATATTCAAGAGAACTAATTGTTTTCTCCTACATTATTGATTTTTATTACACATTTTATTATAAGACCTTTAATATTAATAATTAATTTTGTAATATTATATTTGTATTTCTGTTTTTGCAGAAAATAAGTAATAAATAAGTTATTAAGTAATTGCTACATACAATAATGAAAAAGGACATATTCTTATATTATAAATTACTAACTGTGCCACCGACTTCGACCGCTAAAAATATTTATTTTGGGCATCCAAATTCATTTTTGCAAACCCCTACTTTATAAACTTAAACTATTACCCACGACATCAGTCGCGTTCTAGCCTATAGCCTTCCTCGATAAATGCTCTAACCAACACAAAATTAATGTTTCGATTCCAACCCGTACTTCCTGATTAGCGCCTTCAAACAAACAAACAAACTCTTCAGCTTTATATATTAGTATAGATTTATGTGTGTGAATGAGAATAGCATGTTAATGACACAAGTCGCTAAACTTTTGGTTTTAATTCAAGTCTATATTCCCACTGTGATATTCTTCAGCGCAAACATGATTAAATGTACATGAACATCATAATTTTGCAGCACGATCTTCGGGTCTTACGCACAAAAACCTAGACCACTACGGCCCTCAAATATGCGTGCCGTTCTCATTAAACCTTTGCCCTCTGTAAAATTGAATAATTAACAAATATTCGAGATTAAACAAAATAATATTCAAGGCTCAACGAACGGCATCACTAAAGGAGCTAGTTCAAAGGGGCAACACTAATTCGCGAGGCGTAATACTCCGGCCGCATAAAATAGTCATGGCGGATCAACCGACGGCCCGCGGACAGGGGTTTTTCCCGGATTACTTTAAATTATTTATGAGTGACTCTGACCTCGTGTTACCGACTCGTTATTTGGTCCGCCTTCTTACACTATGGACGGATGCGCCGTGCGCGCACTGACTTCCAAGCAGCCGGTTTATAGATGCCGGGAACACTTTTAAAGTGATCGTCCCGCATTTCGATTTACCGGTGTTACCCACGGAATGAGGGGCGCACCTACGGATAGTGATGCTCCGAGCGAACAAAAATAGTCTCTTAAAAAAACGTTTTCTAAACAATCTCTAACTCATAAAGTTTTGGATAACTATATTGCATTCCCGTTTCCGACCGTGGGGCATGCAGCAATCATATTTCTGTGTCCGTTTCGTGGTTTGCGGTTTTTAGCAGGCAAGTATCATCTATTTGACTGTGCCATCCATTGTTTCCCTGGGTTTCGAATCCCGGACGTCTCGCGCTTAAAGTTATGCTAGGGAATACGTTTAGGCATTTAGCTACATAGGTACATTTAGGTAATTTAATAGGTGATGATACCTTGAATGATACCTGATAATTGAGTTAGTAAATAAATAGACTCCTACTCCTATCGGTAATTGACTTAAAAAACAATATACAAGGCAACCGCGACGCAGTTGCATGTTTTTCGTTAGAGGTCCTGGGTTCAAGCTGTGAAGATTTGGAAAATTGTTTAGTACGACGTGACATAAGTGTGTTCAGAATAAAAATATTAATAACTTTGATATTATGTTTTAAATGTATGAAAAATTAACTATTGGTTTTAATTTATAGGCATTAAAATAAAATACTGTCGTAGTTAGGAGTTGTAAATTTAAATAAAACACTTTAAGGTTTAAAGCGATATATTAGTTCGTATATAGTAGTATTCGTGGTCCGTGACCATGGCTGCTGCAAAGCATCCGAGACGTCGGGCCGAAGTTAAAAATCATTTCCAAATAAGTTTAACTAATATATCGCGTTTTAAACCGTTAAAGTCTTTTATTTAAAGGCATTAAAATATCTAAAATTTCAGATTGTAAAAATATACCGCATAGGCGGGACTCAAACCCACAACCACTGCATACAGTGCTGTTACTCTACAAATACAGTAGCTCTATTTTTTATGCATTTTACAATACTTATGACACTAAACCGACCAATTATCGGACGAAAAATCGCACGTAAATCTACCGGCACAGTACAGTTATTCCCAGTTGCAATCAATTTAAAATGTCACAACACTTGATCAAATTCATCTCCATCCCACTTAAGTTTTAAGTGTGAATTGCTGTCATCCGTAATCCTCATACAAAAGGACAATTGAGCGTGAGAATAAAAGTTTGTTTCTACCCTCCAATCATTAGCATCGCGTTACAAGAGTTGCCCCGGGAACCGACGGTCTAATTGTAATTGCTAAACAAATCGGTCCCATTTCTATACGAGCTACATTATAATTTGTTCGGATGTGCGCGGCACGCGTGCCGCCGCGTTGGGCGTGAAAGTCTTTGTCAATTATTTTGCGTGTATATATTGATTATAATATTAGCGTAACTTTTTAGGTCAATGTAGTCGCTGTTTTAGCTTTACTTTGTGTGTTTTATGTCGAGTATAACTAATTGTTCTAGCTAATATATTTTTATTTGTTTTAATACCTATTATATTTAATAAAAACTAGATTTTTTTTCATTGTTTATGTACGACTATGTCTATTGTCTAGAATTTTTAAAATTAGAATAGTTTTAATGGCAACGCAATCGCTTTTCCAAAATATGTTTACGCGAAAATCTGAGTTGACGATTAAATGTAACTGCGTTTTTAACATCTGAAATGTTATAAGTCATATGATAGCTTATATTTATTTAAAATGTATTAATTAAAAAAGGCTATGTCACGGAAGGGATTCAAAACCACTAATACATCTTCCAATGCGTCGCAATAGTACCTCTATATTTATTAGATAGCATAGACTTTAATGTCTTTCACAAGTTATTGAACATGATGCACTAAATAAATTAAAAATCGTTTATAAATTAAAAACATTTACAACTTGGGCAGGGCTTGAAATCGGTAACCACAGAGCAACAGCATGGAACGCTGTGGATTCCGGTTGAAGCCCTCCCCGAGTCGTAATTTTTTTTCAACTTATAATCAATAATAAAAATATCTTTATTGGATGTTACTCACGTCGCGTTACTCGAAGCAAACTAATGAAATAACCGTTTAATTGAACACTTTGCATCAGGCGAAACAGAGCGCTCACCGACGCAGCACTACCGAAATAATCCATTACTATTATTACTCATCAACGTTCTCATTTTAGGGTTAACTGGCGACATCTCCTGATCCCTTCATACATCTGTGCCTCGTGATGTCGGTATCAAGTGTCACAGAGATGTAAAAGCCGGCGTAGGGGCCTTTGCACACGATTAGGCGGATGGCACTCGCATACGCTTGCATATTATAATGCTTTGCAAATTTAATTACTTTATTATTTAATGCTGGTGTGCTACAGTGACTTTGATCGTGTGCGTCTGAGATTCTTAACGATACAATTATCACTGTTAACCTTACGCGTAAAAAGATCAAACTTGTTGATTATAAAGATTCTTGTTAGATTTTTAGACACCTGTATTCCAAACAATGTGATAGATGTAAAAGTTTTATATCTAAAACTTATCATCCTTTACTAACATGTGTAATTAAGTATTTGCGTTTAATGTATTCTGTAATAGCCGATTTGTTTAAAACACGCAGTATTTAAAACTGAATAAAAACGTTGGTTAAGAATAAACAGCTAGTAATTCATTCATGCTTTCTCTCCTCGTACATGTAACAGCCCTAATTGTCTCCGAAATTCATACGTTGTCCATTATTACGCGTTTTAATCCACGCCATTTTCAATTACCTCTTAATAACTTCGTGAGTGCACACATTTATTATTGTGTAATATTTTCGGAATTATACTCTATCGTGATATGTCAACACTACTTCGTTATTAATTAACTTTCTTACAAGTTTTACTCGACTTTTACAAATAAACTCGGTCGTTTAAATGTCAAGTCATTTGCAATGTAATAATCGATAACTATTCTCCACTTTAGATGATTTGTATCAGTTTATTAGGTATTATTGTGTATCGAATAATACAGTGCGCACTTACCTTTGGAATTATTAATTGCGTCTTAAGCTGGGTACTGACTGTTCGTATTGTTACGAAATCAATGTAGTGACTGTATGAATGCTGGGTGTAAAATGTTAAATTACTATTATTTGATCAGTACCTAGATTGAGGGACGTGTTATAATTTACATTATTTTTAGTAACTACATATGCAAAGTTCAAATAAAACATCAGATATCTTAGTAAACTTATTTGAAAATGATTTTTAACTTCGGCCCGACGTTTCTGATGCTTTGCAACAGTCGTGGTCACGGGGAGAGTCTTTGTTAAGAATCATTTTGAAATAAGTTTAACTAATATATCGCGTTTTAAATCGTTAAAGTATTTTATTTAAATGTGTACTACTCGCGTAAACTTTATACGTATTTACATATGCAAAGGTTAGTATTCTTGGGGACTATTTTTCGTAGTACAAGATTGTAAATAAACACCTATTGTAAATTTTCCTTACTACCATATTCCTTAAACATTGCAAGTTTTGATAACATTAATTCTTACTTACCTGTATACAAAAACAGTCAATAAATGTTAAATAAATAAATTATCTTTGGCCAAAGATAAACGCAAGCACATTCGCTGGGCAACTACATATTTATTAGAGAGGAGGATTGACTAAGATGTTATGTAAAATGTCCTATTTATTTTTAATTTTAGGTTATAAACATAATAAATATATATACTATAATCTTGTAATTGTACCGTTTAATTAAGTACTTACATTATGTCGTGGCGACCAGGAATTGCACATCAATGATGCATCTTCGAGTATTCGACTCTGTAAAGAGAATAAAGATTTAAAAAAATTGTTAAATTGTGGAGTTGAACGAATAAGTTTGTCGTACGATTTTTAGTGTAGGAAGTAGTCACTTGGTGGCGTGTTAATTGGACACATTTTATTTAATGAAAGAAGATGTTATGAGTTATAAGTGTATATGAATAATAATTAAAATTCTTGTGTTAGTTAGAGCATTTATCGAGGCTATAAACCTATAAAAGACAGAAGAAAAAAAACGGAGAAAATTATTCATGTTTGGAAGTTTCTGTTGCGTACGCTGCGAAAACGGATCAATATACCCAAAAACTTGCAAGACGGGTCGCGGTCGACGTCGTGGGTAACAGCTTATAGTTGAAAAACTATTCTACGCGGACGAAGTCGCTTACCCAGCTCGTTATTGCTTCAAAATCAAACCACCGACCCACGCCTCTCGTTTATTAGTTTACTTTTCACTGGTAAGTAAGTAGAACTAGATTTTATTATGAAATAGGACACGAGATAATTTCTAGTTTAACTAACATATGCGGACAAAAAGCGAAAAATAATGATGTACATGTAGGATTGTTAGCACTACCTTTATGTCGTAAACAAGGGCTGTAACTATTATATGAAAGCAAACAAGTCGCGGAAGTAGGGCACAACGTGACCATTTTTAAATCTTAAAGGTCAAAATTTATTGTCGCTTAGATCGGTATTCTGTTATAGGGCGTACTTTATAAATAATAACGCCATCTCTGTCGCACACTTCTTTTGTTTGGTAATAAAATATATTTATATATGGCTATATTAATAAAATTCGTTTGCATTTGTTTTTTGTCGGTACTTTCTTGTGTATGTAATACTTAGTGACATAGGAACGTTCTTTTGGCATATGAAATATTTCGACCGAATTTGATTACCATAAAACGGTTCTTGTGAGTTAATCGTTAAAGGCAGACATTTTTAGATTATCTAAAGAAGAATAATTATTTTATAATATTTTTAATAGCTTCTATTGGTCGCAGCCTGATATTTTATAGCCTAAGACATTCCTCGATAAATGGTCCAACACTTTTTTTTTAAATTGTAACCAGTAGTTCCTGAGATTAGCGCGTTCAAACATAAAAAACAAGAAACAAAGATTAGTATATTGCTTTGATGATGCACATACGTAGTAACGATCGTTTCGAACAACTAATCAGAAAATAAAGTTACTATATACTTTAATTACTAAAATTTAATAGTCATATTTTTATGTTGTTTTTCCCATGAGCACAGAATACACGCGAAAATATGTTTTTGAGCGTAATCAATTTTAATCACGAATTTCACGGTGAACTTTTTTAATTCACAACCCGAAAATGCTCTTAAAATATGAGAGTCCAGAGATGCGACATCTTCCGCACGACTCCACTCCTAGTCGCATTAATAATTAATTCTTAGCCCTTTGCCGCGCCTGTTAAATGGCGTGACTAAATAGGGGTGGCTCGGCCCGGCCCCCCCTCCGATATAACCTGCAAGCGCTCTCAAAACTTTTGAACGTTTGTTTTCGGATAATTTTGAGTGGTCGGGTAGGGCGTGTTAAGTGAAATTCAACTAACGAGTAGGTACAGTGTTACGGGTGTACTCGAAAATCTTAGGCGTATATGAAAACATTTTTAATTTTGTAAAACTGTTAAACGCTACTTGTGTAATGTATCTGTTTGTTTCATTTTGCGAAATATATACATAAATTAATGAATCTACATTTAAGAATATTGTACTTTTATGGACATAGAGTTTTGTTTAAAATTATTGTTTTTAAATATTACAGGTTATTATTACACACATTATACAGGTTTTTATAACTAGTGTTGACTACTGGCGTAAAGAAAATATTTACATAGAATTGTTACAAGAAGAAACGGCGATACACCTGACATTTGATAGAGCTCACGAGGAGAGCTAAATTGATTGTAATAAGTAATTACAAGTTTAAATTATAAATCACTTGTCAGCAATCATACGTAAAGTCTTCACCAGAAATGACACCTTTTGAAAAATTGTCCGAAACCTTCACATTATTCTTACAAGCTCCTCCGTTTCCTGTTGGAAGTTTAATCGTTCATTAATAAGTGAAAATTGTTATCACCTGAGCGGCTTCACACGACGTTCCAGCCGTAAAAAGGACACGTAAAACACTCACCTTCATTTCCCGCAATTACAGCGACATAATCGTATCCGAAGTACTCAAGAACTCCGAACAATCTCTCTTAAATCATGAGAGAATGAGCCTTAAATTTAGCAGAGACTCTTAAGGCTTTGTTAGAGCGAGACGGAGAGAGACAATGATTAGAGGATGAATGAGACAACTAGTCGAAGATTATGGTAATGACGATAAAAATACCCAATGAGGGTGGCGGTACTTAGAAGCAATTTAAAGATATTGTATTTAATGTTGGAGAGGAGTTTGGGGGAAACGCGTCATCGAGGCTTAGGGGGATGCAGGGGTACTGTAAAAGACTCGATGTGAGCTGGATTTTATGAATTGGTAATTGGAGTGCACTCTATCGACAGTTTGGAGGGAGGTCTTTTATTTTTGTTATCATTTCGAACCTATAAAACGCAAACAGTATGGACACGTCATGGTACCTACTGTAAATACCTGTGTTCAGTGTCATTTTATCGGTTTTTTCATACATAATTTATCTTTTTTAGTAAATTCTAAATTTGTAAATGTCCCCTTCAAGTTGTATGCAATCATTTATATTTTTTTGAAATCGTTGTCATGTAAATTTTGTAGTTATAGTTTAGTGTAAAACACCCTTGCTTCAATACAAAATCATTCTTCCGTTTAAACATCGATCTTATGCCGTGTCAAGCTTATGCCACGCTACGAAAGCTTTAACTATTTTATTTATTTAGTTATCAAATTTTATTAACTACAAACACTACAAAAATGGTTTACAAAAATTCTCATCTTTCACTAGCTTATAACTAAAAGGCGACCTTATCGCTAAACAGCGTTCTCTTCCGGGCAACTAGATACAACTAGTTAGTAGTTAAAGCTTTCGTAGCTTAGTATAGTGTTATAATGTTTTCTCTAGGTGCAACATTCCTTGCTACTACATCCGTACACCTATAAATACAACGAAATAACACATTGCATTAGTGGTTGGCAGTAACAATAACCCTTACGTTAAGTGTTATTACCAACGGGCCGGAGGAAGGTAAGATTTTAAGGGGGTAGAAGGAACTTCCTTATTCACTTAACTGATACCAGAAATTAGCGGATACCCTTAAGTGGAGCTCCGTAACAGCCACTAACAATAATAAAAGTCCATTATGAGAGAGATCATAAAGAAAGGGCGGCAGGGGACAAGATACAACAGTTAGGTAAAGCGATATATAACTATACGCTACATACTCTCTGTAGAAATATTCTTCATTGGTAGAATTGTAAGGTGCAATTTTTATTGTGAGTTTAAGGCGAAGCCTTGTACGAATTGTGAAGTAGAAGCGAACGATCTCAGAATGATTAGGGCCAAAACGCGCTCCACGAAATTCAGCGCAGCGGGGCGGGACTGATCAATATAGGGCGGGGTCTCAGATTCGACGCTGCGTACCAGCGTGCGCTCCACGCCAGTCTAATTGATTGACACAGACGGACTGACAGCCAGACACAGAGCGTTTTGGCGGCTTTTTATTGTGTCCTTTGAGGGGAGACAGGGGCCACCAGTCAAATGTAACGGTGATTAGTTTTATGCAATTAGGTATTACGGCTTCTGAATATTCTGAATGAGATAACTGCAACTTCTTTATTATTGTTAGAATTACCCTACAGCTTGACAATATCATACAAATATTAAGTTAATTTATAGTATAATTATATCGGGATACACATACAAAAGAAAATTTATAAAAAGTGTCTTAAGATTAATTAACAAAACATACACAGTTTTGATAGAATTAACACTGTAATAACCAAGTTTCCTTAGAAGTGAATGAACATGACAAAAAAAGTAAATTCTAATTTCACTTTTAAACTAACATTGTAAATAAAGTGTTGACAATGTTAATATATTATTTAAGATTATTTAGAAGTTTATAATGCCTCAATGAATTAGCTTTCCCCTATAAGTCTTACAAGAATTTGATATGTTAAACCAATAAAAGGTATATGTTTAACTTATATATATTTAAAAAATAAAAAGTACGCACGTACATCGTACCAGGAAATAAAAATAGGTTCTTTATGGCGTAGTAAAGCGACGTAAGTGAAATTACTGTATTATTGTTTCCGCTACAACTCCACAGATTGCACGTCACACTGGAATCATAACAGATGCACCGTTTTAATACAATACTCATAAAAACATTAGGGGTGGAAGTAATGACGCCGATAATTATCTAACTACCCGCAATACACTTGACATGTTTGTGAATGAGCACCGGAAGCCGGGGTGAATCCCGCGGTCACGTGACCCAACGTCCGCCATCTTGTTTAACTATAAACTTCCGTTCCGGTGAACGTATAAATCAGATGTCGCAAACTATCGGTGATGCAACTTTGCTGCGGCTAGGTTTAAAATAACAGGTGTCAAATTGTGTTTGCGTTTTCTATTAGGGTCGTATAATGCAAAACATTTTATATATTATAAGGATCATTATAAGCTACTAGCCGCCTACGATTGGGTTTTAACGTTGCGTAGGTAGATTTAGGTAAATGGTTTCCGATTCATTATAATGCTGCTATATTATATAATAGATTATTTAGAAGTTTATTGTGATATTCATACTATTCGTACGTACTTAAAAATAAAATATGTTTTATTTTTAAGTTAAATACGTTGTTTAATTAAACAAGGCATTTATCCTGTCATAAGGACTATTTTCGGTTTTTTAGAAATTAATTTGCACTTATATTATAAAACACCTATAAACATCATAATACGTCAATAATTATAGATTATTTACTACGTTCTTAATAATCTTGAGTTGACAAGCACTTCGAGTGTATTGGCTTATCAGTATAAAACTTGGTACGAATCTAACGCCTGGATCAAAAGATGACATTTATGAAAAGATATACGACGGGGAGTGAAAAACCCACCTAAGCCTACTATCGAGAAAACCTCAGCACGTTTTATCAAAGAAAATATTTTCTTAGATGTCGAGTAAGTTGTTCTCGACTTCGCAAACTTACTTTTGCGTTCTTAACGTCGATTTTGTGTCGTATTGTCGCGGCGTAAGGTTCAAATTGAGTGTTGCGCCGCTTGACGTTTCAGAAGTTTAGCGTCTTAAGCTGATCTAGGGGACGACGGCAAGGTTGCTGTCACCGACTATCAATATCTGTTGTAAAGTGACGTATAGGGTAGCAGAGGCCTTCACAAATCGATAAATTGTGTTCAGTTCCTACTTAAGAAAGTTCCGACGAGTTTATTGGCTTTATTGACGTGCTGTCGTTTGAAGTTTTCTTGGAGACGATCACGAGGTCGTGGTCGGAACTAACGATGAATAAGATATAATCTTAAACTTAATGTAATTGTGCTTAATTTGAAGACAAAGGTGAGAAAGGGTCGTGAACGCACAAAAACTTTAATTAACTCCTTTGTTCATATAAAATATATAATAATAAAGTGATTGTAACATAAGTTAATATAGAAACGTATCTTTTATGAATTACCGGACAATCATGTTTAAACTTCTTTAACACATTACATATTGCAGTGACATCGTGCTGTTGATTATAATTAGTAAAAGAAGATCAATAGAATAAGTTAATTATTTAAATAAAATATGTGTGTGTGCCATAACGATCCTAAATGCGTATAAAAACCTTGCTTGTTTCACTAAAAGGCATTGGTTTGTAACCTCTGCCATTCTAGACGGGGATAAAATCGCGTGCTTTATACCGGAAACGTTACTTTCCCCAAACAGTCGCCGAGTGGTGACCACTAAAGCACGTGCTACTAATTATTACCACTCAATGAATCCTAATCGCACCTTCATATCCTCAAGTGAGGGACATAAAATTATTACTTTAAATGATTCACAATATAAAAGGGATAGTGGACTTTTTTGTTTTCAAAGCGATCCGAAAAGTTTCCATAGGACTATCCAAAGCCAAAATAGGACGACAGTGCATCTTGTGTAGATGTTATATAGCTGGGTTATTTCACCTTCCATCAAGTCAACCCCAGAGTTGTCCTCCTTAATGATAGCAATTTAAAAAATATGAATTTTAAACTTCGAACTAAATTTAATTGTAATATCGTTTTTTATGTATATGAAATTAATAATTATTAAAATTGATAGTGTAAATGTCTATATACCTTTCTATCTTAATCTTTAATCTTTAAAATCCTTTAGATCATTGCAGACTTTTTACTTCATCAATGATTATCAATTCAAGAAATCAGTTATCAATCAAAAGATGGAAAGTTATCAGCCATATTTTGTCTTTTTAAATTAATATTGCTCGTTTTATTATTTTTTGTTTTTCTAGATAAATAACGATCTGTCCGTGTGGATATAGAAATGTTTTAATTACTTTTTCCATGGCATTATAATTTAATAAAAGCATATAAATTGTACCAAGCTAAGCTTAATCTATTTAGTAAGAGATCTCTATTATAAATACAGTAATTTCTATTATTGACGTGTATACACAAGATGAAAAAAAAAAAAAATTATTTTTTTTTCTTATCTTCTATATCAAATATACTGGCAAGCTACTATAGCTTTTGTATAGTGTAGATACTTTGCGCGGAAGTTAAATTACAATTTAATTATTCATTCAGCTCGTAAGTTATACCTATGTTATCTAGAACATCGATTATTAGGCACTAATTAACGAATACTAACAATTCAAAGTAGACGATTGTGGTTTGTGGTTCAGATTAGTAAAGAGTTATAGTCTGTGACCGAAAACCACAGACAAGATTCCTAGTTCAAATAAAGAACTATTCTTATATATAGAATTAGTATATACGTTAGGGCGACGTTAGGGGATTTACAAAAAGTGGGTAAATATTATTTATAGACTTAGGTTTTTTTTTCTTGGCATTGTTTTGCCTCCGGAGTCTGTTAGTTAAATGCGTTGTATTAATGTTTCTGGCTCCAACCTTCGTGAAACATAAGGCTCTGTAATTCAGACGGGGTACAGAAGTTAAAACTTATATTTAAAAGTGTTCACTGAAACTGACAAAA